AACCAATTACACTCTGATTTACAGTAAAGACATTTGGAAAAAAAATCTGGAAAAACATCAATCTACAAAAAAAAAGATCTTCAAGAGTTCTTTAGCAGAGAAAATGGCTCTACACAGAGCCATGAACACTCAAAAACCCTCTGTATGATTAAAGGGTTCTTTGCATTGTGAAAGCGTTCTTCAGATTTAATGGAGAAAGTGTTGAATTTGGTTCTATATAGAAACTTTTTTAAAAGGGTTCCATATAGCACCAATAATGGTTCTTCTACTGTAGCAATAATAGAACCTTTTTCAAAAAGGTTCTATATAGAACATGCACACTCTCCATCAATCTGAAGAACGCTTTCATGATGCAAACATCCCTTTAATTTTGCAAAGGCTTTTTGAGTGTTCATGGTTCTATACAGAACCATTTTCTTTACAAAAGGTTCTTCAAGGGTTCTTTAGTATAGAAAATGCGATGTAGATGGTTCTATATTGAACCTTTTTGAAAAGGGTTCTATAGAGCACCAAAAAGGATTCTCCTACAAGGTTCTTCCACAAGATTGACACTGTTACAGTGGCAGAACCCTTTGGGTGGTATATAGAACCCTTTCCATTCTCCATCAATCTGAAGAAACATTTCATGATGCATAGAACCATTTAATCATGCAAAGGGTTGTTTGAGCATTCATGGTTCTATAAAGAACCACTTTCTTTACCAAAGAACCCTCGAAGAACCACCTTTTACAATACAATACAAGTTGAAATATATGTTAATCACTTTTACAAGCTTCAAATCTCTGAGTGCAACACTGTTAGCTTAGTGCTAACATTATTACTAGACTAGCAGAAAACCAAGCAAAATCTTGAGAGAGTTTTGATATATATGGCCCGAACTGAACACCTAGCTCTCATGGTTTGCCATTGCCTAAATATCATTCCGGTGTCTGACGTTTGTTTCTTTCATTTTGCACTGGAGCTACAAGGCTAATGTAGCTAGCAAGGAATGGTGGCTCATACCTCAGAAATTAGCATCATGCAAACTGTATGTCTAAACCTTCACACACTCGCCTCAAACGGCAAAGAATTGTTAAGCAATCTCAAACAGACCTGTTTGTTGGAGAAACTGTGGAGCACAAATTGGAAACCATACTCACATATTTTGGCTGTGCCCTAAGTTACAGATATTCTGGAACGAAGTATTTGATGCCCTTAAGGAAGTGTTTCAGCAAAATATTCCACAAGATCCTAGAGTAGCAATATTGGGAGTAATACCAGATAACTTAGAGGGGAGATCTAAGAAATACCTTCTAGGAATATTACTAACGGTAGCTCTGAAATGTATTACAGTTCAATGGATGAATCCAAACCCTCCCACATATAATTTATGGATCACAAAGGTGTGGGATGTCTACCAAATGGAACAAATAACATACTTATTAAGAATTCAAAAAGATACATTTACGAAGAGATGGAGCCCTGTTATAGATCTACTAATGCAGTGAGAAATACATTTTTTCCCCCTTAATGATTGTCTAATTAATTATTTGTTTATCTATTTTTAAACAATCATGTTCTCATATTATTTTCATTATTTTTTCTTATGTTATTGATTACTTTTATTTTGAAGTGGATTCCCTTTGTTGCTTATTTGTGTTATAATTGTGTGTAGATATAGTGTATAGATATAACTTGTATTTTTATAGGGTTTTTTTTTTCCATGGAAGCATTGTCATACTGTTAACGACCTGTTTATGTAGGCTCCAAAATGGCAGCTACTGCTGTTTTTTAGCTATAGCTTTAGCCTACACATAACTGTACATGATACAGTTGAACAACATGATGTGTTATGAACGATTAACTTTACAGCACATTAAAAACACACAAGCTGCCACTGTATGTTGAAAGAGCTTTCACAAAAAGCATGGAAACCACAGTTGAACTTCAATGACAAGCCAACAAATTCTCAAGGTATTACCAGCATGCTAGCTTGCTTTGTCAGCTCTTTTGCAGAGAGTGACTCCATTGACAGATTTACAACTTTGTTTTGATAGAAATCTGCAGCTCTTTTCTGCAGTGGGCGAAGATATGTTTTTCAATAGGCGCTGGTGGACACGCCCTCCACCCGGGTTTGGGTAACAGGCACCGATGCCTCAGGGCTTTGGGGCTATTCACTGGCCGTGTTTTCTTACCTGATGAGCTAAGCTATTTCTGGCCTTTTGAGGTTTCGTGGTGAACGGACAGGCCCGAGTCGCGATGTGAGAGAGTTTGGAAGGGGGTCGGCTCCAGGGGACATGCTCACTCTTAGAAGGGCACATTGCTAAAACATGAGCAGATTCAGGTGTCCAGATTCATGTTCTGTGTCTAAATGCGGCCTAAATTTGTTTTTAAAACCTTTTTTTGTCATTTTCTCCTGCATCTTGAATATTTTTTTAATCATTGTTATTTTCTCATGCTAGATGTCCGTTCAAGTGTTGAATCTTCAGAGTGTAGCTTGGCTATGGGTGTCACAATGGCCTCTTTTTCACTGCAGGGCCAAACGGTTCTGAGCACAGAGGGTTACCGTTCCAGTGGCGTTTCCACATGGACACGGTTCAACACTGAACGCTTAAAAGCGTTTTTTGGCACGGTTAGCTAACCATTTTCAGGGCCACAGAACCGCACTGTGGAATGATGTATTGACGTAGCTGTTCGCTGATCGGTTCTATGTTTATATTTGTATAAACATGCCACAGCATCCTGCTGTGCTATTTCAAACCCAAAAGCATTCAAATAAATTCATTTTGCTCAAATAAATGAAAGCAGTGCACAATTTGAAATCCATCATTCAATATAAATCAACACTTCAATCTACAACCAATTTCTAAATGTTAAACGGTGCTGTCTAACCAGCTAGAAGAGAGGATAACTTAGCTAAAGAGACCCAAACACCACAGTGCACGTTCAATTCGACTAACTGCTCTGCTATCACAAATATAGATGACAAAAACTTATAACAGCGAGCGCAAAGTCGACTGAATGGTATTGGAGTGACAGAAAGCCGAAATCGGACCTGTTCCATTAGAGCTTTAAGCTATAGCCTGCTAGGCTAAGCTAACGCATGTGCATGGTGCCTCCCACTGCAGTACAGGCTCAGTTCTAGCGAACCCATGCTTAAAAACACCCGTTTAGAGGATAAAGACTCATATCTGAGAGCACAAATTCGAAAGACTGGTGTTGAAGCGACAGAAAGGTAAAAAATAGAATTGTTTTGTGGTGCCTTGAGTTGTACCCTGCCGGGCGACGCAAATGCTAATGTAGTTATCCGGCTACAGGTAAAACCCACTGCAGTACAGTCTGTTTCAGTAACAGATGCTCAAATAACACCCATTTAGAGGATAAACAAGATGACATCACACTGAGAGACCAGAGTTGGAGTGACAGACGGAATCAAACATGTTTGTGGTGGGTGGCGTGTATGTTGCTATTAGCCTGTTAGCAGTTAGCCATTCGTTTGTGTATTTTTCTTAGGTGTTTCCTGGTTCTGATTTAGCGGTACAATAGATGGAAACAGAAACCACAACTGGTCTCACGAGTCCGGACCAGCGCGGAACGGCCCAATACGGCCCTGAGAACCATTTGGCTCGATAGTGGAAAAGCCCTCTGATTGGTCGTAGCTCAGTTCACCTGCATAAAGTCCGATAACACTTTATAATAAGAGGCCCTGATAAACAGCAACATAATCATTGTCTAATATTTTGTTAATAACTCTTAACCATTATATAGTAGTTACACATCATGCTGTCAGAGCAAAAGCTCCAAAAAGTTTTCTTAAAAGTTTCCTTCTCCTGTAAAGTTAAAAGTAACATTACAAGAGAAGGAAAAAACAAACATTCTTAACTTCTAATAGAGGTTAATGGATAAATTATTTAATCCAAGTAATTTTGCAACATTTTGATTGGTATGTTCATCATAAAATATTGATACAATGTAAAGGGAAGCTGGTGATTTTAAATTGTCAAAAAAATAAAAAAAATACAAAAAATAAGACACATAGTTTTGTCTTGATGGCGACAATATCCAGTGATAAATGGTACCATTTGAATTATTAACCATTTACTTAGTGACATATAAAGAATCAGTTATTATTTTAGAAACCTAATCACTAACTATAATTTTTAAGATTATAAGATTGATTCTAAATTATACAATTTTAAATATTAAGCATTTAGTTTGTTTGTTGCATGAAAATGCAATGTGTAATAATTATGAATAAATATTATTAAATGATTGTCTACATCTTGTTTTAAACAATACAGTAGTTCTTTATAATCTTACTATATTATGATGCATAAACGTTTCCTTAGTTAATCATTAAATGGTTAATCTTTCCTTTTGTACACTGTTAATCATTAATTAGGGCCCTATTATAAAATTGTGACTATATAATGTATTTATGAAGATGTACTGAGCATTATTTACTACACTGAAATACATTTATGAAAAGCATCACTTTAAGTACATGGTTAATAATTTAAACTGTAAATTAATTTTAGAGATACACATATTAATTCACAAGTCACAAATATATCATTATTAACTGTGATTACTAAACACTTAGGGTCAGGTTAAAGTTCTTATTGACAGCAAATTGTGTTCTCTTTAATTATGCAAAAAATGGCTTATCATTTGGCATGACATCTTGGTGTTTGCACATTTGTGCTTCTTAAAATTTCAACATCCTTAAAACGTCCTCCCACCTCCCTGCACATTCTACTGATTAAATACTAATGAGGTACACCCAGTAATTAGGATGATACAATGATTAAGGCTCAACATTATCAAACTCTAGAAGTAGAAAATAGTATAAACAAAGAACACCCTTCTATAAGTAGGCATATCCAAACTACTGACTGTTGCTGTATATGATTTAAGTTCCACTATACATTTGGAACCGAAGGGAAACTATTAGGCACTTGCACACAATTCCTGCCATTGAGCAGCACTGCACAGTTGGCTAGCCAGATTTAACAGCTCACCTCACAAACATTCCTGGCTACATGAACAGTTCTGGCACCGACAGCGGCCGTCAGTCAAAGCAGCGTCAGGTACAATAGTCACGCACGGGACACCAAACCGCACCTGTTATGGGACGCCCCTATTGAGAGAAAGATGCACCGGATCACATTTCTGTTTGAGGAGGAGAACCCAACAACATTCTGAAAAAAAAAACTGAAGACGTTGTCACGAACACCCTCATCTCTGTGCAGGGTAGGTTCTTAATGACTCACCATGCTCTGGCATGTCTATGTGCACACATTGTCCATACTGCAAAATGAGAACACTTTAAAGTCGAACCTCCAGAGACTGGGGTAATAAAAATCAAACAAACTGAAAAATAAATAAATAAATAAATAAATAAATAAATATACAAGCTCCTCGAAACATCCCACAGAGGTTATCGAAATTTGCGTGGGTGAGCTCACATTTACAAATCAAAGCCTGGCTGGTTTAAGAGTGAGAAGGAGTGTAAAATTAAAGTGAAATGAGAAATTGATTTTGACCATCACACAAAAAGGTGAGATTATGATCTCATGATTTTCTCAAATTACAGCACCGATGATACCAACAACAAAACTAAAGCAGCAGCACATGCTATTGGGTCATTCCACACCAACTCACCTAGGCCTTTATGCTCAGTCATGTCACAGATTTTCATGCAAAAACGAAAGTAAAGTCTTCAGTTTAGTTAAACAACTATACACAATTTCAAAGCTGTGCTCCAATGAGTTTTTTAAATTATAATCTTATGTCAAATTTTTCATACTAAATTGCATCTGTTTTGAGTTTAACTGCTTACAGGATGACTGAATGAGCTGAAATATGAACTGGGTATAAATACAGAAATAAAAATACTATTTTACTTTAACAGGTTTGTGCTTATAAATGCCATCAACAGGTTCACTTATTGGAGTATGCACTTTTTCAGGTCAGCAATATTTCACCTTTAAACTTTCAAAAATTTTAGGATTTAATTTCCAGCAAATCCACATTTGGAGTGCAACATCTGGAGCTATACTATGGGTTCAAAACAACATATAAAACATTACAGATGACCCCTGAAATCTTTGTTGTTCGCACAAAGATTGCACGCTGGATTTCCAAATGATTGAACCTTTAGAAAATGATGGAACCTTTTTAAAAATGGTACTATATAGCACAAAAAGGGTTCTTCTACTGTTACAAGCTTGACATCATAACAATAGTAGAACTCTTCTTGGTGCTATACAGAACCATTTTCAAAAAGTTTCTCTATAGAACTATATACAACACATTCTCCATCATCCTGAAGAACCATTTCACCATGCAAAGAAAGACACATCACAGGAGATGAAAGCATACAAGTCATTATAATCATATAATTATTTGGTCATTGGAAGGGTCAGCGATATTCTGTCTTACATCATCAAACACTGACGTGATCGCCAAAGTGAGTAATAGCTAGGTATCTGTGTTTGCAAGGGTTAATCAGTGTCGGCATTGGCTTATTGTAGGAGTGGGCAATATGACGACATATTATCATTATCGTGATATATTATGTCACAACATGTTTTTCTGAGCATATCATGGATCTTGTCAGTACTTAAAGTACTTAAACACTAACCACAAGTTTCATTACAAAGTGAACATAAACAAGTAAATAGTTTGTGAAACTTGTGAAATCACTGTAGTTTTTTATTATTATTATTACACTGAAAAAAGTGGCTCATCAGATCTACTTGACATCTACATAAGGTTGTCATTACAACTGACATAACCCTACATAACTGTTTATAAATGCTTATTACAACAGGCATCATCTGTCATAAAGGCTACTTTAGCTGACTTTGATCAAAATTGGCAAATGTAATCTTTATGGCGAATGACGCTTATTGGAACAAGCATTTATAAACAGTTATGTAGGGTTATGTCAGTTGTAATGATAATCTTATGTAGGTGTCATGTAGCCTTATGAAAAGCACCCTACAGTAAAGTGTTACCATTACTTCATGTGGTAACAAGCAATTTAACTAGTTTTATCCAACCTAAATACATACTTTGAATGAACAATTCTTTCAATCAATGTAGTTTTTTAAGTTGAATAAAAGTAGTTCAATTGCTTGTTACCACATGAAATAATTTTGGTAACACTTTCTATGAATGTCACCATTGTAAGTATCTATAAACACATTTATAACATGTTATAATGTATTCATAAGGCATTATAAACATGGTTATAAATATTTATAAAAAAGAATTACACTGGATTACACTTTAAAGCCATGTTTATTATACATTATGAATTGTTAATATAATGCATTATAAATAGTGTTAATAACATGTTATAATGTCAGTGCCAAAGAAGTCAGTCCCAGCTTGGAGAGCGTAAAGTAAAGACAAATACCAAGCTAACGGTGGTGTACATTGACTTTCCCACATTGGGTAAAACACTGATGGCAGCTCTAGTTTAAACTCTGACATTTGAAGCCTGTAATGTGCTTTATTGTGTATGTTTTAGTGTTTCAGTAAATCCTTCAGTAAATACTTCAACTTGAAGCCTCACTCTTAACACTGGAGAAGGTTTTAGTACAGTATGCTTCACTTTCCTTAGAGCGACAAATACAACTTATAAGCTCTTATAATTTGTTATGATCAGTACTTATAATGTATTATGTTAACAATTCATAATGCATAATAAACATGGCTATAACATATAATGCATTTTTATAAATATTTATAGCTATGTTTATAATGTCTTATGAATGCATTATAACATGTTATGAATGTGTTTATAGATGCTTACAAAAGTGACATTCATAGAAAGTGTTACCATAATTTTTTTAAGTAGATCTGACGAGCCACTTTTTACAGTATATAGAAATTTTTAAATGTGGCACTACAGGTTATATTTTCTCTGTTTCAACTTCTCAAACTTCAGAAAAACTAAATATCACAATGTATATAACGTATCATGAAAATGTCTTGAAATATCATGATATAATATTTTTGCCATATCGCCCACCCCTGCTAACGTTCTAGACGTTCAATGTCTAACTAAAGCGTGAGAGATCTACACACAAATATTTACACTGCAAAAGTCAATCCTCAAACAATGTCACACAAAAATGATCAAAACTACAGAATTCATCCTTCACTTAACTGTTTACCTGTGACAGAATGATGACAGCAGACTTTGGTACTGTTATGGGGAGATGCTGAAAGTTTTCCTGTTTATTCTCTCTATCCTGAGATTTCTCTTTCGCTGGCTCAGCTCTTCAGCCTCTTTCCCCTCATGATGTCAGACAGCTGGGACGCTATAAAAAATTTACATTTTACATAATTTCTGCTGCTGCTGTTACTACATCCATGAACCACTACGGCTATATTATATTTGTCAGTGTGCTTTCTTAACTAACTGTATACAAACGGTGGCCACTGTCATCACTGCATTGAGCGGTGGTACGTCAGCAGTAGTGACAAGTGAGACATCAGTCGAATATTATTTATAGGCTAGTTCATCTGAAAATCCAAATGAATTGTGAGACTACAGCCAAAAATGCAAATCAAATCAGAAAATTTTGAATCACGGCACCCTTATCAGTCAGAGTAGACTGGGCAATATGGGAAAAATACCCATGTTGCATTACTTTAAGGAAGTTTCACAATATACAATATGACATAATATTTATTTTTTCAGTCATCTAATCAGTTGGAACTGAGAAAAAAAATAGTATTTTTATTTTTTAAATGTATCAAAAACTGTGAACACAATGATTTTTATTCAATATTGGGCATACTGTGTTGCACTAAATCCAGTTTTAACAGGACTAATTTTGCTCTCTTTATAATGAAACATGCAGCTGGTCAGTGTTTTAATTACAAGTACTGACAATATGCACAATATGTTCAGCAAAGTATTTTGTACTGCATTGTGACAATTCATCAGGACAACAATATATGTATTGTCATATTGCCCAGCCCTAAGTCAAAGCCTACCTGTTTTAATGTTTAATAATCCTGCATGGGATAGGGCTGGAGATCTCCACTCTGAGCTCATCGGGTGAAGCAAGTCTTTCAGCTCCGTCCTCTTTATCTCACCCACAGGCCTAGAAAAAGCAGTAAGAGCTTTTAAGAAAAAAAAAATAAGACCAAGGATACAACTCCACAGGGCCTTTTCACAGGCGCTTTTATGACTGCTGTGTAAGTGGTACCACTCTCTCTCTCATTTGTCAGCGCTGACCAAGTCAGGAGGCAGACATTAGGGTTGTAAAGCAATGAGGCCCTGAGGACAATAGAGCGCTAATGAAAGAAGGTGGAGAGAAGCTAAAGGAGCTACAGGAGACTCCCTGCTGTGAAGGCCTGGAGAGTCTAGACTGATGTTTGACCTCCCACGGGCTGGCCAGGATGAGCACCACAGCTGAGGATACACACTGGGCTTTTGATAGCACTTGGTGGGTTCCTTTGAGCACAGCTGAGAAGCGACCCAACAAAGCTTGGACAGTCAGGCTAAGAGCAGTTTATGACAGGCACACTGTAACCTTTGTGCATCTAAAGTGGAAAAAAAAGAGGGAAAACTTCCTACAGAAAGCAAAATTCACAATGCCGAATTAACACAGTATTGAATTGGAGGTGCTACAATATGCATAATAATTTTCTTTTTTTTTTTTAATTATGAGACAAAACTTGAAGTCTTGAAATTTTTATGCTATGAATACCTCTGATATATTCTATAATACTTCTGGCATATTTATAGAATTTACAGAATATTATGGTGCAAAAACCAGAGTACATACTGCACCGTGAAATTCATGTGTAGTTATAGTATTTAGTGTCAATTAACATCTAGAACATCTACATTAGGCATGTCAAACTGGGGACCTTCTGGGTCAAAGTGCTGTGGAGATGAGTCCTTGCTAATTATCTGATGAGCTGAATCAGGTTTGTTCAATGAGGCAGCATCTGGAAGTCTACAGTGTTTTGGCCTGTGAGGACTGGAGGTCCTATGGACTAGGGGTGGGTCCTTAAAGCACATTGATTAACTATGTTTCATTAGAAAGTGAGCATAATTAGTCTTGTTTCATTGGATTTACTGTAGAGCAGTTTGTAAAACACTGAATGAAATCATTGTAGTTGTAAGTTTTGTATTATTATTATTATAGTGTGTTATATCTTGCTGTATAGGCAACATGAAGCAATAACAACAGAACCACAATAATTCTAAGGTATAATGCTGCTTATTACTTTTGCCAACATACTTAGATAGAAGTCACAGAATAAGACAATCATTGCATTTTGAATTTCCTTCTAGTCTTTCGGGACTGCAAAAGAAATGGACCATAAAAAAATGGCCCTCTTACAGGCCAAAGTCCACAGGGCCACTGTTTGTTTAATTGACATAAAACTGCCTTTTCAGGTTGCCTGGGGTCATTCCAGATGGATAACAGAAGAGATGTGGGCCAATAAACTGTTGAGAAGAGTCCCCGGCTGTTACCTGATCAGGTCTCGTCGTGCCTGAGTGAGCTTAGAGAGGAAAATCCTGATTACTTTTCATCCTTCAGGCTCTTTTTTTTTCCATTCGGAGCACAAGATTGTTTTTGAATTACGAGCACAAAACCACCTCGCTGTAGATCATCTCTGATTGCGTCACGGCATTATGTCACGGCCTAGAACAGCGTACAAATTGGCTCATGACATGGCTATCACAAAGTGGCTGATTGGCTTTTTTGACGTTCCTTGTCTGACTGAATGTCCACAGTATAAAATTATGTGCCAGTTCTAGTTGATCTGGGAGCACAGCGTAATAACAAAGACCCAAAAACCAAGAATGTACAAAAAATGTACTGTGCTTGGCCTCCATGCACATATTTAATCCACCAATCTATCTTTCATGCTACATACTGAGAGTCAAATAAATATCTTAAATTAGAATTCAGAGTGGTTTAGTGTCAAATGTCTAATTTTAGATAAAATGTTCACAATGGTGGTGATAGGAACCAGACGTCTGAAGAGTTTTAAAGTCTGAGACATTAAGCCTCATTCACCAACATCTTCCTAAGTTTTTTTCTTAAATGTTCTTGAGAAAGATCCTAAGAAAAAGTCACGTCAGATTCATGACGTTTTCTAAAACTGCAGAATTGTTCACACCTTTGTGCTCTTGAGCGTAGATTCTGTCTTTACTTAAGAACAAATCCAAAATAAGAAAACATTGTCGAGTGTCAGAATCTTCGTAAAAACAGCGCAAGTGAGTTTTAAGCAGAAATTTCTTCTTAAGAATGGTTGGAGAATGAGGCCTATCATTTTGTGCCTAAAATGTATTTTTTTAAACCCACTCAAGTTGGAGAGATATGTCCAGGGCGTCGTAAGGCAAAAGAGCCCCCCAAAAAAGCTTATTTTTCCAAATTTACTACTATTTTACCATCATCAACATTACATATAAAGACTTAGATGACATGTGTAGGTTTACATGTCTTCTGAGACTTTATAAGTTTCTTTAAAATGAACCATTTTGCTTAAAATCCACTCTTTGTTTACACCGTAATGATTTGATTATGCAGAATTAAACAAAAAGATCAAATAAAAAGGTTGTTTAAAAATATTAGATGGGAAAAGTTAAAGATGTAGGATTTCTGACCTAAAAAAGGCTACATTCAAGTTCAACTACACTACTCTACTTGTGATGTTGGACGCGAACATAATGTAGGCCATCAAAATCACAAATCAAGATGATTTTTATAACTGCATCTTGGCACTGATGAATCAAATTCATCTAATTAATCAAATCTAATTGTGAGGTGTCTAGATTCTAGATTCCAACCCCTACAAGGAACCCATCATTCAAAAGCCATCAGTACAATGCCAACCATCATTCCAAAGGCAGGTGGTAAAGGAAAGAGTTTTAGGAACACTTGAAGGCATCAGATATAAAACTGAGGTAATTCATAGCAGGGCACGCCTAAAAAAACAGTAACAACGATGTATCAATTATTTCAGTTGCATGCAGTATGTTGCAACAAGGCTCTGCAGTCAGGCTCTCATTAAGGTCTAAGAACAGGTCTACAACGTGTAAGGAGATGTTCAAAGCTTTCTGAGGAAAAAGGCCACTTACAAGCTGTAGCAAGCTGCAAAGCCAGCAAAAAACCATAGTCTCAGAGTTTTTAAGCCTATAAAAGCCAATTTATCATCATGATAACACTTAATTTGGACAGGGTTGAATTCACATGGGGCGGTGGGGTAATTTCTTCTTTTTGAGGGGTACTTTGACTTTATTTAATCAAGAGTGGTTGTTTTTTCTCATTTCTTACAGAATTACAGGCCAAATTACCTACTGTTTTTCACCAAACTCAGTGCTGGTGTGATAATTAGTCCTATTCAGATAAACATCTCTAACGTTTTTCAGCCAATGATGTCTTGCATTAGAAAAATGTTTTTAACTCTGCTTCTTGCCGTATTTAGTGTCTGGGTACGCAAACCTACATTAAATAGAAAATACAACCCACTAGAAACCCGCTATCCTGTGGTGACTTTATGGGTGTCCAGACGCATGAGTTCACATGTGAGGAGACATCTGATAATCTAGTCCAATCTGAATAGAGTTTAAGACTATGCTTGCCAATCCTGGTCCCGCTAGGAGTATCCTTGCAAATTTAAGTGTCTCCCTACTCTAACCCAGATATTTTAAACTCATGAAGAGGTTATATTAGCTTATCAGTTGCATCAAGTGTGCTGGAGGCAGGGAAGACACTAAGGGTCAGTTTCCCAGACAGCCTAATCCTGTATACACAGCATTCTAAACGGAGATTCTCCACTGAAGGGAAAACATAGTCTAAGACTTGTCTTAATGCCTGTCCGGGAAACTGACCCTTATAAAATTCACAGCGCAAAGATACTCAAGGACCAAGACTGGAAACTGCCCTAATGGACCTTGAAACCCTTTGAAGGTCTAATTATTTTGTGTCCTTCTGTGTTTGTATGAAGGCTTTTCAGATTTACAAAAGATCAACTTTAAACTGCTGTGGTTAGTAGGACTGAACGCTAGTGGAAAGAAATAACAACTGAGCCTAAATCTTGAGATGAGGGTGGGACAATTCAAGACCATTTGACCTCTGCAATGAACCAGGAAAAGGGCTAACTTTCAGAAGGAGGCCCTGAGGATCCCCTTGCATGGTAATTTAAAAAGTCTAACAAGCATTTCCATACAATTACAAAGATATCACATTTAACTTCATACTGCCGAGTTGAAGTGAAATGCTTAAAAGAACATCATACGTCTGTTTTTCCAACATGCTTTTGTCCATGTGTGACCATTTTAATGGACTAAATGGACCACCTTCCCAGTAATGTCTTACTAGCCTGGTATTAGCAAGGGTATAAAAAGTAAGAGGGGCTATTTATAACATGAAATGGCTTACATTTTCAACAAATCAGCTTAAGAATCCCACAGTTAATTGGTACGATCTTATTTGCAGCTGACAGAGGAAAAAGTATTTAAATAATAACAATACCTAAGAATAATATTTTGTACCACGGTCTATGCACTTCAGATGCCTCATCACCCGAGTTGCTTCATCACTTTCCTATGAGAAACTAACCCTTCAGTGCTTGGCTCTCTCATTACATGAGGGTGAGAGACCAAGGTCGGTTTAATTGGCCAACTGATTACACCCTATACACCCTGTAAGCCCCCCCCCCACCTACTCCATCAGTCTCCAAGAGGCCCTCCTGTTCACTGGCCCGTGGGTTCAGAGGGATCGCAGTCCCAGAACAAGGCGTCTCTTTGTGCGGTTCACTTGGCCAGGAAATAGAGATGAGTTTGTCCATTGCCTCAGAGGCCACCGAGAGGGCTGGACGAGGCCCCAGGAGAAACTATAGGCTCAGGTATCACTAACGTCAGCACTGAGTAGATGAAGCCTGCCTGCACAATTCAAGATTCTTCAGAAACGGTTTCAGCACAGCAAATTCCTGTGTCGGTAGTTGGCATGAAAGTACTACCAATTCATTTCAATGACAGATTTGTCTTTGACAGACTGATAGTATATCATGCTATATTGATTGATGTAGGACTACTGTAGACATCTGAGCATCGTAGGTAATGTTCAGACTAAACTTG